AACATGCACCACAGCGATCAGAGTACACATCCATGCAGAGCGCTGAACAACATCTCGGCCTGACTGGCGTTAATGTTCCAGTCTCTCAGAGTGATGCTTCATACAAGGTTGGCTGCTTTTATGAAGATGTGACATAACGGTGGTTCAAAAGCTTTTTGTTTTCTCACTGTGGACATGAAGAAAAAGAAGATCTCAGCTCAGCCTGACTCTTCATTTCCTAGCAGAATGGGCTTCTTTAGGATTGTTCATGTCGTTCTATGACTGTGCAGGAAAAGAATAACCAGGTTCAATGTATGTGTACTCTCTGATGCATCACTACACAGACGTTTTATTTAGATTTACTCAGTATCTCTGCTGGAGTTGCTTCAGTGTTCAGATTAAAACAATCACAGCAAGAGAGAAGAAAACGATCAGTGATGTTCCATCAACCACACGCTGATTATGCTGCAGTAACAACAACCTGTTTCAGCTTCATGTGAGCTTCACTTCAGGACAAACACAGGTAAACATTCCTATCACAGGAGCTCATCTGTTTGGGTGTGTGCAGCGAATAAACGACCGTTAATCTGTTGGACCATAAAATTATAAACTGTGAACACGTGATAAAGGAACGGTTTCAATATTCAAATGAGTCAAGCAGAAAAACAACCCGACTAAAGCTTTCACCTGGTGACTACAACACCTGCACTGAGCTCAAACAATAGACGTAGCCTACTTTCCCTGCCTTACTGTGATGAGACTGTCTCTGATTAACTGCACACTGCTTGATGTGTACAGCTAATGGCGTCCATGACCAGGTTCTGCTGCTCTACAGGTAAAGTTGTGTTGGCAGAGAGCAGAGTCAGCTGCTGAGAGGTGGAGACAGACAGTACGATGGAATCAAACACCAGTGCAAACATGTTGGTGCATGAAGGAGCAACAAACACACTAACTACACCCACATGGTGAAATAAGAGGTAAATGCTGCTGTGCTGCTGTGTATTGATAAGCCGATCAATAACAGGCTACTGATCTGTTCCAGAGAAACACCGGTAGAGTTTGGAGCAAACAACACAAAATGGAAAACCAGAGTTTTTACAGTGAATATAAACTAAACATCTGAGTGTGATTTGACTCTTTTATAACTTCAATGTCTTTAAAGTTAGAGCTCTTTGTTTCCTCTGAAAGAAAACTGAACGTCACAGTTCCTTCATTTAATCATTCAGTCTTTGCTGCTGTTGGTCTGTTCAGATGCAGCCACTCCCATCTGCACCTATTCAAATGTTCCAACCTTTCCTGATCACGTAAAGAACCGGTCCTTTCTGCTCTTCTTTGTTTACTGCTCAGCCTCTTACTACGGCTTCGATTCCTGCTGCCACTCTCACAGAGTTTTATTTGTCATCTGATCGGTACCTTATTTTTTTTTAATGTAACTTGTCTGTTTATAACCTGCTGCCTGTCTTTGACCTCCTCCCTGTTTATAACCCGCTGCCTGTCTTTGAACTGTGTCTGTTGCTGCTGTGTTCTGACGTCTTTGTCTGCCTGCTGCAGGTCTGTGTCTCTCTACTGACGTCGCCCTCCTGAACTCCTCACCTGCTCTGGTCTGCATTACCTTCAACATCAGGTGAACCGTTTAACTTTTAATTACAGCTCAGCACTGATTCATCTTCCTCTACAAGCTCCATGTAAATGCATTTAAGGGTTAATTAATCATAACACTGAAATGTTGAGCAGTAATGATCAATGACAACATCATAATCTATCTTTCAGTTCCTGGTCTTGGTCATGGATGACTTTGTTTGTAACAAACTGACTGAATGGGATCTTAGCGACTTCATTGATAGATTTGAAGGTAAAGTTTTACTGTATATTCTTGCTGGCTGCAGATGTTTTATAACACTGATGGGATATAAAGAAACATAACATCTGCTCATACAGACATTAAAATGCTGCAGCATTATTCTGCTGGTTGCATAGTTCTCATCTGGGAGTGAACAAAATGCTGATGATGAATCATTTGTACATGATCACACTGAACAAGCAGAGACGTCTTGGAGGCTGTTAAATGAAGCTACAGTACAAGAGAATTCAGATGCATTCAGCTCATACAACCACTGAAACATTACCAGCTGTGTCCACACATGTTAAACTCCTAATGAAATGGATTTCTGTTGCAATTCCCAAAAAATATATTATTTATTCATGACAAAGATTTAACAAAATATTTTTAACTACAGATCAAGGCATTGACGAGGAAAATCTGTATTATCTTGATGATCAAGACATTAACAACTTGATCACAAAAATAGGACCAAGAGCAAAATTCAAGAACAAACTCAAGCAGCTAAAGGTAATGTTTGAAGGTATTTTGCTCACTTTTACATTTGCTGTCATAAACCTCACTCATGCAGACGCCTGCTGTTACAGCTGAACTTCTGCTCTAATTATGATGATGTCTGTGGATAAAAGTTTATAATATCTCATTGACAAAAATAATATTTACGAGGATTTGTGGCTGGTTTCTTATCACTAGGAAGAACAAAGCTCAAATCAGGAAGCAGCTGATGTTCCTGTTCCAGTAAGTTCATCACAGTTTCAC